CGTAGAGAAGATCGAAATTGTGATCAGTATAAAAACAAAAGGACGGGGACATTGGGCTTGTTGAAAAACGACAGATACCTTCGTTAAAAGTTAAGAAAAAATACAAATTATATCAATACACCCTTGGATGAGTCCCAACTATTCAGGTCGGCTTCTTCTTCTTCAGGAACTTCTTGGAGTGTCCTGGTTTGATGTCCGTGTCAGGTAAAACGTTAAAACGAACCGAGTACTCGCCGTAATCTGCCATAGAAACTTCGCGAAACTCGTCCCGACGTAGATCCTACTGCGTCTGCGCCACTTACGGAAGTACGACTCCAAAATAAGTTTTTAAAAAACTTTTATTTCCAAAACGTACGAGAAATAGCTAGAACTGAATATAATGCAAATTACGGTATATTTATAAACTCTGTAAAAAGTGCAAGCTATGTGAAATGCAATTCTACAATTATGCATATCTGGTGTCTGTAACTAGCGCCAATGTTACAAATATCAACTTTTTGACAAGATGCCGCTTAAAAAGTTTTGAAATCCAAAATACTTTCGGAGAGAGACGGAAAAAAACGCATTTTCCCAGAATCGTTTTCATTTTTTCCTAACTTTATCTGTTGTGGAATTTTTTAAGAAATTGCACATAATCATTGTCACTTTTCATCTTCTACAAGATGATACAATTAAAATTTCCGTATGACGTTTGGTCTCTTGTCGCTCAGCTTTATTGGATTTTTGCATAGATGAATCGAGTTTTCAATTCTGATTCAAAAAATATTTAACATGTTAGTTTCCTTGAACTTATCACATAGTCATTTGTTTCGTATACTGGATTTGTGCCTCCTCTCAACATGACGGTTATTAAAGAAAAACTGTGCTTTGACCTGCTCGTGACAGCCAGAGGAAAAGGACCGAAAACAAAAACAAAACTCCACAAAACGAGAGTTTTGGGTTCTGTTTTTGTTTTCCAGGTTCTAGAAAATACAAATAGAACAAACTCGTGTCCGTTTAGTGAAAAGCCGTATTGTTGCCTCTGTAACTTGTCACAATCTTTCCGTTGCGTATCTATAATCTACTCGTATTTATATTACGGAAATTATCAAGTACTTGCAAGACTACTTGAATATTCAAGTACTTGACGTAAAAACTACTTGACCTGAGGTATTTTGCTAATATACAGGGTGTTCCTTAATGATATGCGAATATTTAAGGGTGTGAATCTACATGAAAAATTAATGTTAGTTTGCTTTCTAAACTATGGTCCAAAAATATTTCCTTACAAAAACTCGGGGTGTTGTTTTAGGAAAAAAATGGAAATTAATTAATATTTTTAGAACCGCTTCAGATATTTCACTGATATTTAGTACGTAGTGAAAGTTAATAAAGCTGCATATTTTTCAATGCAAACATAATTTTTAGCTGTACCAGTGGCGTGCGTACGGGTATTGACTTCGATATTTTTCAAGAAAAAATGGTACGCCAGTGGTTTTTTGCCAAATAAAAATTATTTTTGATTTCCCCGTTCAATTTATAACAGATGATCTATCTTGAATTATTTTCCTTCGATGCGCCATTTTTGAGTAAAAATTAAAAACCGTTCTATTGCCCGAGAAAATTAATGTAATAATTGAAAAATGCAATTTAGCAATAAATATCTAGTTGCTCTGAAATGTCACTGGCTTTTGACATCTGACAAGTCTCTGTTATTCAACTCTGTTCGCTGGGACATCTTTTTCATTATTTAGTTTTTACAATTGTGTTAATAATGGTGAACTATTCAAATGCAGAAATGGCGGAAATGCATTACGTATATGGCCTTGCCGACGGTAATGGTGAGCAAGCCAGACAGACTTATCACCAGAGATATCCCGATCGTGCTTTGACAGATAGTCCTTTTCTAATATTTATCGTCGTCTTGTTGAAACTGGTTCTGTCCGAAAAGGAACATCTGAAGGTAGACCTCTAAGTATGAGAACACCTGAAATTGAGGAAGCAGTGCTGCACGAAGTCTAAGAACATCCTGAAAAGATTACGGGGAAGACCGCTAGATACTTAAATATTTACCATCAAATTGTTTGGAGAATTTTAGTGGATTTTTGTTATATCCTTACCATATTTTAAGAGTACAGGCATTACTTCCCATTGATTTGCCAAGGCGTGTGACCGTTTATCAGTCATATCTTCAAAATCCTCAATTTGAATCAATGATTCTGTTCACGGACGAAGCTAATTTTTCTCGAAATGCCATTCAGAATTTCCACAATAATCATTTTTGAGCAGAAGAAAATCCCTATGCCGTAACCGAACCCCATTTGCAACATTAATTTTCGGTTAACGGCCAGGACTTTTTGGCAACCACTTTTTTGGCCCATTCTTCTTGCCGGGACGACTTGACGGACAGAATTACCTCAATTTTCTTCAACAACAGTTGCCTTTGATGCTTGATGATGTTCCGTTGGTAATAAGAAACAATATGTGGTACATGCAAGATGGTCCACCAGCGCATTTCAGTGTAGCGGTTCGTAATTATTTACAAACTGTTTATCCAAATCATTGGGTTGGCCGCGGTGGGCCCCAAGAATGGCCACCAAGGTCCCCAGACCTCAACAGATTAGTGACTGCCTCTTGTCTGTGAAGGGCGGGTTCACACGCTGCGTCTTATTGTACGTTTTGTGGGACAGGACAAATCATATCCAATAAAACGTGGCGCGTAAACAGCAAAACGTACGTCTTTTCGAATCGAAATGAAATCCAAGGACAGATTGAAAAACTGATGGGAGAACCTTCATTTTGCGAGAACTGATATGACAAAACGAAACGTGTAGATTGATGTTCAAACAAGACTTCCGATGTTGGCTCCATTCACGAGTAGCTCCACTTCAGTTCGCTTCCATTTTTCCCAAAACCTATTAATGTCAGACTTGCGGCAATGTACCCACGATTTTCTCCAGGAATTCATTGATCATATAAAAGTTTTCCGTGTTTGTGGCAAGTAAAAAATAAAGATTATAATAAAAAAAACGTCGCGTATGAGGGTCTTATGAAAAAATACAAAGAAATAGACCCGATGGCAAATAAAAAGTAAACTGAGGTATCCATTCTCAAATAGTTGCGCCAGTTATCACGTTCGCTTTTCAGTTCTTTCAATAACGAGACCTGGCAATACTGCCTTCTTTTCAGAAGCCACTCCCTTGACCATCTTGCCTTTTCCCTCTTAATCCCTTTTCCTCTCAGTCGTTGTATCCTTATAGTTGAAAAAATAAAAGAAAGCAGCGATGTTTCCTCCATAACAAAAAAATGTCTCTCAAAAAATTCACTAAACAAACTTCTTTTTTTTAATATATCGAAGCAGTCGCGCAGGCAGAAGCCTACGGCAGCAAATAAATTTGGGTGTTGTTTTGGAGTTGAGGCGGAGCCACAGAATATTCTTCCGGTTTGATTCCAAAGAAAAATCTCTGGATCAGGAAAGACTGCTGCGGACAAAAGCCACAACTCCCCCGTTATTTCTCAGATTGGAGTGCATCTCGTAGTTTGGGAAGTTAACATGGTTAATCGGTGCAGACTCTGAGATTTTTGTCTCCGCCAAGAAAAGCATGGCGGGACGATTGGATTGCAGGTAGTGATGAACAGCATCAGTGTTGCTGTTAATCCCGCAGATGTTTGCAAAACAAATTTTATCTTCGATGTTGTTCCCTCGAGCCCACCCTCCACCCGGACATTCCGAGAGTGGAGTGAGTTTATGTCCGGAATTCTTAGTGCTCGAGGGATCCATCATCATTAGTTTCTTTGTTTTGGAAGATAACCGACTGCATAGCTTAGGTGTGGAAACATGCGGACATTTATAAGACACCCTTGGAAAAGCTAGCGGGTGGTACCGCCTCGGTCGACTGGTCCTTGTCTACCACCTTCTCTTTACGTGTTAGTGATATTAAATAGACCTAAAGTGGCCTGTTGGCGGAGTTGTACCGCCACCCGGCAATCGGTACTGAGGCATTCCTTAACGCGTGTTCAATCACTTGAACGGGAAGAAGTTGTATACTGGATACAACAACTTCCGGAACAAGCATTTGCCACGGCCCCGCTCAGTAGGGGTTAGACACACAACCCAACAGTCTAGATTGGAACTGTAGTAGAAAGCGGAAGGGGAAACACGTAGTGTGTATACACAGGATAAAACGTACGTTTTGTCGTACGTTTTATATGCCCGACAAAACGTACAATAAGACGTAGCGTGTAAACCCGCCTTTAGAACTCGTAAAATGAATTATCCAGCGGACGAACGCGGCTTGAACGCTGAACGCTTGTCTGTCTGCGCGAGCCCTATATGTTTACATTGCATGATTTGTTACCAAAACTGTGCAGGTTTTTTTGGGTCATTTGTCTACCATTGCCAAGTAGTGGGTGTCACCTATAGCAGGTCTGAACGGTATAGCGTGATAGAAGGCGAAAATTACGAAAACTGTCTTCATCAAACAGCAGCAATGGCAGAATACCTGATACTGGAAATAGTGGGACAGCTTACTTAAATTCTACTCAGCTTTTCAGGGAGAATCAAATATGAACCGGACTTTTCTGTTTAACCACAGATTATACAGATGCGACACCCTCGTAGTTGGTGTGATTTGAGCAGATTCTTGACTAAAAGAAATACCCAGTTGAGCATAATATGGAAAATACTGCTATTATATTATTGCGACTATATATTTATCCAATAAAAGATTTGGCGGTGATTTAACTAATTTGATCTTCATAGTTTTTGTTGAGCCTACCGAGCTTCCTCACTCTCGTGCCAATAAGAACGAATATGTAAAATCTCTGTTCAAAACATGAAATTGAAGACTCTTCCTAAGAATTTTTAAATTAAAAATTGTAGTGATAAGACACGGAATGATCGGGGATGAGTTAAATTTGACACACACAACCGTTCATCAGATCAAGAACAACTTGGTGTCATGATAAGCGAGTTTTTGGCCAGTAAAAACATCCCTGCGGCTGGAGTCTATCCTCATTCGCCTGACTTGAGTTCTTGTGACTTTTTTCTCCGCTCGAAGTTGAAAGATCACCTAAAAGGAGTTCATTTCTGGACAGTCGAAAAGATTGAAACGGTCTCATTACCTAATTTAAACACCTCGTATACCTGAATATCAACATGGTAGATCAACTGTCACTAACTTTTGTTTGTCACTCATATAGCATAAAATATCTTGGATCGCCAGGGCCAGTTGGATGTAGAGTAGACGGATTTCTCAAAGGCATTTAATCAAGTTGATCTCGGAATACTTCTTGCTAAATTGAACTTGCTTCGTTTCACTGTCAACTCGATATCTTTATTAGAGTCCTATTTACATAATCGTCATCTATTCACATCATACAACGGTTTCGAGCATTTTTGCTAAACAGCGTCTTCAGGGGTATCACAGGGTTCGAATTTCGGACCATTGCTTATTTTTCTCTTTATTAACGATGTTCATTATGAAACATTAATGTTTGCCGATGACTTGAAATTGTTTTCTGAAATCAACAGCATCACTGATTGAGAGTACTTACAGTGTTCGATCAAATCAATCTGAGACAGTAGCTTTAATGAGGCTTATCGGCGTCAAGTAGATTGACTCTTGAATTAAATTTTTGAAAAAGACCACCGAGATGGCCGAAACGTCAGTATGCTCTCATTTCAACATCAGTGGTTTCGTTTCGCGGACAGCAGAACATGGATAGTAGCTGGAATAGGATCGGCTAAGGTGAATCAATGCCCAGATAATAAAACAAAATTGTGACTATCTACTTTGAATTTGATGGTGTTTTCCAATATCCTTTGATAATATCAGCAGCTTTTTCTCCAACCATGTAAGCTGGACCAACAGTATGTGCTGCTACCGTAGTAGGAAATATACTGGTATCGACGACTCTCAGGTTTTTGATCCCATGCACCCTGAGTCTTGAATCCACGACTGCCTCTTTGTCTGTCTCTGGTCCCATTTTGCAGGCAGATTGCTGGTGCCACATGGATGATGGTATGGATCGGATTGCACATTCCCAGTACTCATCAGAGTCGAAAGCTGTATTTTCGCAACCTGTAGCAGACATAGGAACTTCAAAATCGTAACATGTGGTGTGATCTGTGATATTACGTAAACATACCGTTATAACTTTACGATCCAATCCTAACGACTTGTCTGACGACTTAGAAAATTGATAATTGTAGTTGGTCACAATATGGAAAAAGTTCATAAGTCATGATATTAGCAAATTTCCCCGAAATAATTGTAAAGTCTGGTCTTATTGCTGCAAGTTGTTCAAGGGGGTATTTAAAACATGGACGCATAAAATGGGTACACCAATTTTTGTTTGAGAACAAAAAATGAGAATACGTGTTTTTTGGGATTCAATCGAAAGTGTTAACATATGTTAACATAAACGAAAAAAACTTTTCATAAAAGATTTTTAGGTACTTATGAGACCTTCCACGTAAAAAGATCCGACTAATAGCAAAAATGCCGAAAAACGAGGCAAACTGCAGGTTTTAGCGCAGATATTTGAAATTCTTCAGATTCGTAGGATTCGTACTTCTAGATAACCACAACAAAATTGGATTATATTGGTCAAGTAGTTTTTTGAGAATTTATAATCGTTTATCCCAAAACACGTGTCTTCCGGTGATCACTACTAGTTTATTGAGCAATATACAGGGTTCGTTCAAAGAGCATTTAATAGCAAAATACATATACGTGTTTAGCTTGCCGATATGAATCACAAACGATTCCGAAAGATAAATGTTATTTTTATGCGAAAAATAAGGGTTACGTTTTTTTCTTCTAGACAAATTCAAACAATTCGTATTTGTGAGCAATTGAACAAATGCTTCACGATATTCGAAAAACATACGTTACTATACACATTTCAAAACAAAGCGAATGTATCTATCATCTTTTGTTGCGAATTACTCACAAATACGAAATGTTTGAATTTGTTTAGAAGAAAAAACCCATCCATTTTTGCATAAAAATAACATTTATGTGTGTAAAGTGCTGGCCGGAAAACAGGCGTTTTGGGATAAACAATAAGAAATTCTCAAAAACTACTTGACCAAACTACTCCAATTTTGTTGCCGTTATTTAGAAGTACGAATCCTATGGATATGAAGAATTTTAAATATCAGCGAGAAACCATCGTCGCATTACCAGCAAGTGCCAAAACCCGCAGTTTGCTTCGTTTTTCGGCAATAACATTTTTGCTATTAGTCGGATCTTTTTACCTGTGGTCTCATTTTGTAAGTCTCATAAATACCTAAAAGCCTTATATGGAGAGTTTTTCCGTTTCTGAGTTTTTCCGTTTCTGCCTACATTTTGATTGAATCCCAAAAAACACGTGTTTGTCGAATAACGTGTTTTCTCACAAAAACTGATGTTTCCATTTTATGCGTCCATCTTTTGAATTCCTCCTTGAACAACTTGCAACTTTATAATTATATCACAAACCAGGGGCTTCTTAAGATTGTCTGGCCGAATAAACTGCATGTATGTCTTATGACCATAAAACCAGCAGGATACGTTTCACTAGTTTCCATATTTAAGCCTATCTGACTTTGACAGCTCAGCTTACGTTTTACGAAAACGTAGTGTCAAGATCTTAAAGCCAGATTGATTTTGTCAAGGGTCTTGGCTTTCGAAATTAAAATTATTTTTTAGAAACTAGACCACTTATTATTACAACGGAAAACTTCAAGCGACAGGTTTTACTCAGAATCTGAATGTGGCCTTGAGGAAACAGTACCTATTTTTGTAAAACCTAATTGCAGTGCGACGAATTCAGTTACTTTCATCCGATGAAACCGTTTTGCTAGCAGAGAATACTAGTTACACCTTGTAACATTTACAAGGTCTGTCGCAAAGTAAACAGGGCAAATAAAAAATTAACAAATATTTTTTTTTCTTTCAGAAAATTGAATTTATTTTATTCAAAATAGTTTCCTTCGGAGTAAATATAGCCATTTGCATGAACCAAAAGATTTTCGAATGATGATTTTGGCTCACTGACCGGGATCTCCTTCAAAATGGTCGCCTTTTTGGATACCCTCTACGTCGGCATACCGCTGTCCCTCCATGGCCAAATGTAGTTTAGAACACGACGAATACGCGACAGCGAACGCTTTATAGTACAGAAGATTTACCCCTACCACTAAAGAAGAGGATCGAGTTTCCCTGGATCAGAACTTTGCCTTATCCAGTCTTATTTCATTGTATTCCAGTTAGTTAGTCTGTTGTTGGAGCTCATACTATATACATCAATAGAATTGTATTTTGATAATCGAAAATAAATCTTTTTAAAAAGCAAGTAGACTGACTTGGTCAGATAATTAACGCCTCATCACACAGCATCACAGCAATAACCGTTTGGAACGAATTTAAATAATTCGCTTCGAATCGTAGCGTATCATCGTCTTCACTTTGGACTTCCCCAAACAACTTTTTTTCGGATTTGGCTCGCTTGGGTGCTTCCATTCGGCACTTTTACGCTTAGTTTCTGGATCATATTGAAAACACCAAGTGTCGTCACCAGTTACAATGTTGTACAGAAAGTTTTTGTCTTTTTAGGTTTTTTGACCTCTTGAATGTTGAATTTGAAACAATTCTTGGTTATCGGTGAGCTTGAGAAGAACAAACCGTGAACACACCTTTCTCATGCCAAAATTCTTGGTCAAAATGCGATCGATTGAATCTTTAGAGATATTTAATTCCATTTCTATGTATCTCAATGAACATGTTCGTCGTCTTCCAGCGACTGACGACCCTCTTTGAACTGTGTAAACCACGTTTACATCTGATGCGTTTAAGTAAATGTTTTACTAAGTATAACACAGAGCTTAATATTGGCTTTTTGTCCGATGTTCATTTTTAGACCTATGCTAAAAAGGTCACTTTGAGAGCGATAACTCCGCGTAAAATGGTTCGACTGTCATTAAATGTTGACTGGGCATCAATGATCCAATGCTCCGATAATAGATGGCGCTACTTGTATTGGATATATTTCAAAAGTCCTGTTTACTTTACGACATACTTTGTATATTTTTAATTCTTACCGAGAAATGGAATTTCTGCGATCTTAGCTCCAAATTCCTGCAGTGCAGGTTGACTGGCTATTTTCTGCATTACTCTGATCGCAAGGATTATTCTCTTAATATCCAGATTGTCTGGATCAGTGAAGTAATTTAGGGTATACTTCGCTTCTTCAAAAGGATTGGACGAATTCAGTTTTATGTAGCCTTTTGAGATAGGATGGAGTAATAATATCAGTGACTAAAAATTAAAAAAAAAATTGCTGGACATACTCGTATTGTAGCTGAATATTGGGTAAGTAGTACTGAACAGTGCTGATTTAAACAAACATAATACAGTTCATAAAGTCAGAGCACTATAATAATAATAATAATTTACTGGTGTCAATAAACAGAAGTGTGTTAACACACGACATTTTTACTTTAAGTTAAAAAAAAAGCTACGTATGAACAAACGCGTAATAAGGAAACAAACATAAGTCGCAATAGGAGATAAAAAATAAATTCCTTGTTTCAAGCAAAAACACACGTCAATCCCAGAGTAATTCTTGATTGATTTAGCTGATATGTCAGAAGGTCGGTTAAAAGTAGCCTAAAAGAACTTGAGAAGAATGCAAGATGTATATCAACATCTTGCTGGCTATACGCCTCTATAGCACCGAAACAAATACAGCAAGAATGCATGGATGACGATTTTTCTACTACTTCTTGACCTACAATTCTCATTCTGAATAAACAAAGAATTAATCAAGAAAGCAGCATGTGCTCGTACTCTAATACTACCACGGCAAAAGATAAAAAATCACGTGACTCACCGTAAAAGCTGGTTTGCCGAATAAAGGTTTGAAATGAGTCTCAAACGCTTGATCACCAATATTCAACAGTTGTTTGAAAAATATTCCAAAGTCTACAGCTAGTGAAGATGGCAAAAACAGTAATTCTATATCTGGCCTTGTTGTTTCTATACCCGTTAAGTTTGTGTTAAAATATGCCACTGATTCTACAACTAAAAATAATAAGGACGATGTTTAGTTCTTAGCTTTATGAATGTACGATGGTAAGTGTAACAACACATTGCGATGTGAAAGTTAAGTTGTAGTTTATCCCTTAAGGGTCTGTCACGATACGAATTTTTTTGCTGAATTTAGTATGTCATATATCGTGCAAAACTAACGATAATGTCAGACAGCATTCAGTACATAATGTTGTATGAAAAAATTGAGTGCCAATCTTCTTAGAACCTGCTCCAAATAATATCATGCTAAAAGTGCGCAGTTACCTACTGCGCATTTGGAGCAGTAGGCAACTGGAAACAGTATTTGCTTATTGTCTTGTGATGATTAGGCTTAGGCCGCACTACGGCTAACCCGCCGCGGATTTTAACCGCCCGATTTCGTGAGTAAACTTGTCACAGAATGGCTAGCGGGAAAAAACCGCGCAAAAATTTGTTGTTCATAGAACTTATTTTGCGTGCACACATTTGACGCGGCAGCAACGCGCGGTGCTGTCGTCATTGTTCGATACACCGTCATGAAGAACCGGAGATGCATAAATCATCATGGGCATTACCAATATTATGTAGGTCAACTGCATCATGAAAGAGCTAAGTGACCATGTTTTGCCATTAGAGCGGCGGGTTCCAGGTTAGTATGGAGCCTAGTATTACCCCCAGGTATTTGATCTCCCCCGACAGTTGTAACTGTTTTTCCAGAACTCATAGAGAACCTAACCCCTCTGATTTTTTCCTTCTGGTGAAAGCAACTATGTCTTAGAGGGACTTCCTTGCTCTGGAAGCTATTGTTTCTTGTTTCCAATGTCATACTTGGTTAATTAACCAGAGAAGTAATGTAACAAGCTGTATGACCCCCTCTCAAAAAAGGCTTAAGAGTTCATAGAAAGGCCGTAACCAACTATTGATGAGCGCCATTCTCTGCCCTGAGTTCGATGCAAATCAAAGGTACTTAAATTCCGTAGATGATTCCTGGACTTGACTCTAGACGGTCCACTTACCAACTACCAAGAGATGCCCAGTGGTACTGACTTTGAGTGGTCGGCGTGGGGAACACTGAACCGTCTAGAACGGACATAGCGCCAGTAAAGTTAATCAAATACTAAGAATAAGCAATTCATTGAAAATGGGGGGTAAGGGTGGGGGGGGGGTTTCTAGACACGTTAGGATCGGATTTCGTTGATACGAGTATAAACGCCATTGTGCTTAGAGCACAGAACTTCTGCTGGTCCCCGTTTCCGCTCCGATAGTAGTTCAAAATTTCTCAGAATGTTTTCTTAAATCTTGATACTTTTTATGAAAGAGACCTTTCTTAAATCTTCGGCTAGTCAGCGGATGGACCCAGTATTTGAGAAATTTTTGATGACGTTTTCTTTTTCAGCTTCTTAGTATTAGAGCAACACCTCATACAGCTCTCTTGAAATCCATCTTCAAACTGTGAAAATCATGTCCAGTTTCGCGGTTTTTAACCGTTCCTGGGCAGATTCTGCAGTCATAATATCATAATATAGGCAAATCATTAGATCGCTCTATTTCCTGCAATTCGTTTGTTTCATTCTCAGAAAACTGGAAATTTGCTCATGTCCAACCCATCCCAAAAAGGGGATCTTAGATCGACCCTTAAAACTGCAGCCCTATAGGTCTGCTTTCTGTTTATAAGTGAGTCGACGGAGAGGTGCATACATCACGAGCTTCTGGACTACTTCGGCTTGATTAGTGACAGGCAGTATGGTTCCCAGTACCAGCGATCCACAGGGGGACGTCCTCGCTTTTGTCACGTAGTTGTGAAGGAAACTTATTCAGTCTTATGGTGAGGCTCATGTCGTTGCTCTAGACATCACGAAATCCTTCGATCAGCTGTGGCACGCTGCCCTCTTATGCAAACTTCCATCCTGTGGCCTCACAGAGAAGCTGTGCAGATGGGTGGCTGACTTTTTCTCTGGCAGCAAGATATCCGTCTTAATTGACGGGTTATCCTCTTCATCCCACAAAGTCAACTCGGGTTTCCCCCTAAGATCACTCTTGGCTCCGACATTGTTCCTCTTACATAACAACGGCCTCATTTCTTGTACGATCAATCCAATCCACAGTTTTGCTGCTGAGAACACTTCACATACAGGAATTCAGAGCGACAAGCCGATCTCTGCCGGTGAATTGGAAGAAAGAAGAGTAGCGACTTTGTATCTGACTATCTCTGATTGAGGACACAACAATCTTGTACAGTTTAATGCTTCCAAAACACAGTTCTGTAGCTTGACGAACAAAAAGCGTCCTAGTGCTCGTCCGGTCTTGTTGGATGGCCGAGTTCTGCAAAAGAGCCGGTGATTTCGGCTGGTCGGGGTTCAGAACAACAAGCACTTGATCTGGCACGAACATATCTCGTCAATAGCGGCAGCCGCTGGGAAAAAACTAGGCTATTTGCTTAGGGCTAAGAAATACTTTGCTGCCTCATGGCCTCCTCAGTCTATACAAAGCCTAGATATGACCTAGCCTCGAGTATTGGATTGTAAATGGTAAAAGAATTGGGAACTAAATTCAGTAACGCATTTTTTCCACACTCTTTGATACCGAATCATGAACAGACGGCCTTTAGATGCAGAGCATAAAATTTTGAATGGCAGCTCCTTCTCTTAGATCAGCGAGAATGTCTTAATATTGCCCAATAGTTGTGTTATAAGCCCATCCTGACGGTCTTGACGAAACTTCAACATCTTGGCTTCACCCTTCATATTTTAGTAACGATGAATCAGTCATGTAAGTTGATGGTGAGGTTCTAACAATGTATCAACAACTACGAACCATTAGAAGTAATTGGTCCTTTATGATGAACTAGAAAATCCCAGTATGTCTTAGGGTCCTGAATATACTGTAGATATTCCAAACCGATATGCTCATTTATGAGAAACGCTGCTCCAGGGAATACGACGTGATCATACATTATTTCACCAACTGGTAAAGGTTCGATGACTGGTATGCCTAAAAATGAATAAACGGATAACATTATCTCAAATAACAAGGTCAACCATTCTGAGTTACGCAAAAAATGGCTTCAAGTTGATTGACTCTGGACTTCCTACGCCGTCGTTGGAGGTTTCAAATAAAAGGAGAGAAATAAACATACTTCTGTCCCATGGCAGATGTATGGAAAACAAGTGTGACTCATTATGTCTAACAGGTGCATAATATTACCGGGATGGGCAGCCTCTTAATAATGGAAGGTCTTTGCTGACACCGAACATGCAATACAGAACAGAATGACGCCAGAATCATATGAGTGTTAGGTTGTTCATCAAATCGCTCACTATTTTCAAACCTGAACTAATTAAAAGTAAAGCATATTACTCGTTGGATGACTACTTATCAGATAACCTGATAGACGACCAATACGTGTACCTAATTCTGACAATACAGTTTATGTCTCTCTCATCTCTGTGATATCCTATGTCTCAATTTTTAAAAGTTACCTTTCTTATTCGTTTTTATATTCTACGATTTTGAATTCCATCTATTTAATTATATATTATTTTCAATGTTTGTTTTAGTTAAATGTTTGTCTATTTTTATGTTGTATGCATTTCAATGGTTGTTTATTTTTGACTGCCATTTACTAATGTGTGTTTTTTACTTATTTATATTCTGTATCTTTTCTTACTCTGTTGACGTGTTCTATGTCACCCAATGAATCTCTTAAACGTTGTAACACTATGATGGTATTGAACTCGCGATAATGTTCGAACTTCAGTTCACAAGTCTTCTGTTGCTCAAAGATATCTGCATCACTCAAGCTCGTGTTTCTCATTTATGTCTGTTGGTCAATCCGTGTCTGTTATATATCAATGAGTAGTAAGTATTGAGTCAATCTGCTTGACAAAATATTTAGAGAACCATCGTATAATGAGTAACACAAATTAAAGATTAGGCGAAATAGGATCAAAAAATGTGAAGATATACGAGGGGCACGCTGTGTTAAAACCGGTAACAGAGCACTATTAGGTAGAGCAGTCCTTTATTAGTAAGTCGCCGCATTCAGTTCATTTGCAAGTGTCTTACAGTGCAACGTAGTGTAAACAAACTTAAGACGAAACATGGAGTTGTCTCGAAAGAGTTATCACGTTATGACTTTAAAGTTGGTTTAACTGAAGATCAATGTATCGAACGGTTAGAACAGGCATTTGGTAATGAAGCTCCGTCCCGGGCAAGTGTGTTTCGCTGGTATGCCGAATTTAAAAGAGGCTCTGTTGCATTGGCTGATGAAGAACATAGTGGTAGTCTATGTTCTAGTGTGACTCCAGAAAACATTGCTAAAGTTCAGCGGCTAATTGGAGAAGATTCTCGCGGCACATATGCGACTATAGAGGCAACTCTTGGGGTAGGATCCGCAACAGTGCACACCATTTTGCATGATTATCTTCATTAAAAAAACATTGTTGCGTACAATCCTACATCACGACAATGCCTCTAGCCACACTGCCCAACTAACTGTAGACTTTTTACATCAGCGCCACATCAAAATGCTAGAACATCCGCCTTATTCCCCAGATTTAGAAATGTGTAACTTCTGGCTCTTCAACAATTTGAAAAAACATCTGCGTAGTTGAAAATATTCGTTCGAAGAGGAAATCGATTAAGCAATTAATCAGTTTGTTGATGGCATTCCAAAAACAGACTGGTTAGAAGCATTTCATTTGTGGAAGGTCAGGCTACAGAAGCGCATTGATGCTGTAGGAGAATACTTTGAACATTAATAAACTAGTTTTTGAAAAATAGTTTTTAGTTTTCGTGTATCTCAAAATATACAGGGTGGCCCATCCATGTGTGGACGGAATATTACTCATAAATAAATACATTTTGAAAATATCTATTTATGGCATGTTATACATGACATTTAAGGTCACATTTCTAAAATATTGGTCATTATACAGGGTGTCCCAATTTCGACCTACATATCAAAGTTGTGATTTTTCAAATGGAATGCATCAAATTTTATTGCATATTTGGATAAACCAATTCAAAAGAAGAAAATTGATATAACATACTATGGGGTTTTGTGAATTAGCTACTGAGATTTAAGGTGTTTTGTCTAGAAGAACCCCCCACTTCGGCAAACCCTCAGTCCGCCATTTTGGAATCGGGGGTGCTGAATTTTGTATAAAAAAAAACTTACACACCTCGGCTTTTATCTTATTTGTTACCTTTTTGAATTTTCATTTTTGCTCATACAGGGTGGTCAAAAACGCGAATAGTAATTTTTCTCAAAAATTTCAAAAGCATCAATCACCCTGTATATTTGTGCAAGTTTGGATTCCGTTTTTTATAAGCTTTTTTGGTATAAGGTTTTATTCAGATAAAATCACTAGATTTTGAGTTATTAAGCTTTTAATAGAACAACACACCAAAATTTAGGAAAAAATCACAACATACATGGAAACAAAAGACAAACAGTGGGATAGTTCCATATTGCCAAGAAGAGTACAGATTTGACGTAAAAACTAATAACAATCAGAACAATATAAATCAGCTTCAAGCATAATAGAGAAAAACAACTATAACAACAACATAACAAACAGCTCACTACTCAAGACCTAATCTACAAAAACTGCTCGAAAATATCTCCACCATATTGAATACACATCCGTAGTCTTTGGATAAGTGACCGTTGCACATCCCTCAGCATGTGTTCCCTTATCTATAAACCTCTTGCTTAACGTATCCCCATAGAAAGAAGCCCGTCGGTGTCATATCTGGTGATCTAGGAGGTCAAGATATAGGCACATCACGACCGATCCAACGATTGTTACTCCAAGTGTCAAAATAGTTACGCACACGATTATGATAATGCGCAGGTGCGCCGTCATGTTGGAACTACACATACATCCGAGTTTGCAGGTTGACATTCTCCGAAAGCAAAAGCAAATTGCTCGATCAAAAAATTCAAGTATTCTGTACCTGTTAATCTGTTGTCGAAAAAGAAAGGCCCGATAACTTGTCTGCCAATAACTCCTCCTCAAACATTCAAGCTCCATTTATTTCGGAAATCTATTAGTCTAAGGGCCCTATTTCACCGGGACACCATGGCGGCGCAACCAGTCGCACAACCGTGGTGTCTTGAAGCTACCAAACCCGAGACACCGACTACGGCCACAGTATCAAAATGAACGTCGAAGAGTTAGCACTGTTGCTGTATATACGAAGGAAAAGAAAGTTAAAAAGAAAAAGAAAACAGTGGTGGATTCATCCTTACTTAGCCGATCGTCCTAAGAAAGGACAATTTATCAACATATACGAAGATCTGAGAAGATATCCAGATAAGTTTTTTAACTATGTCAGAATGTCCATGAGGTCCTTTGACGAGTTATTGACTCTGTGCAGATATGATTTATTGAAACAAGATACAATATTAAGAAAGTCTGTCAGTCCCGAAGAAAAGTTATTTGTAACATTAAGGTAAGTTAAAACAAATAATGAACAATTCACGAACATTTTTTTGGAGTTAGTTACTACAATTTTGAGTGTTAAACAGTTCCATATATGGTTCCGAGTCCAGTGAATCAGGTGTATCGCTTGGAGAACTTGTATACATTATTGTATTCATAGAATTATATCCAGCACTATTTGTAATAGTTTCAGTCGGATAATTCGTGGTGCGCGGTTGCGTCGAAGAACCAGGATGGTAGTTACCTTGACTAACCAGTTACCACCTGAATTAGCTTGTGAAGTATGCCGAAATGAACGATCAGCATAATCAAACGTCCTGTAACCATAATAATCTGACGCATCGTTCAACAAAGTTAGCATCTTTATCTTGGTAGCCATTTTAACTTGAACAGGCAGATTTTTTAGTGTGCTTAACAATGACAGCAGAAATAATCGATCTTCATCGGTCTCTGCTGTTTCACGTAGTATCTGCTCTGATGTCTCACATTGTCTCTGCTCAATAGAATTATTTAGAGCTCGTACAAAGGGATCATCATCTTCAGCCAATTGCCGTTTACGTTTGATGGTAGCTTTTTCTTTAGGACGCTCACGTACTTCAGTGCTCTCCGAATTTTCTTCTTCGTCATCTTCTTTTTCTCTGATAGCTACTACTTTTTGTAGAAACTGCAACTGCTTAAAGTATATGTATTCGCTTTTGCGGTTAGTGGCTCCAGAACCAGACTTTAAATTTTGTCTTTTGACTTCCCGAGCATAGCATGATCTTATACTTTTCCACCTTTTTTGCAACACCAAACCTGAAAAGAAATGATTAGTAGTTAGTATTTCTCTGAATTTAACTTATGGTGTGTTTTTTCTTGGGATTTATTTTAGTACCAATCAATTATTTATTAATAAAAAAACATATATAAAACGTATATAAAACATATATTTCTCTGAATTACAGGTACTTCGCTAGTGGATGTACAATGAGGGAATTGCATTACAATTATCGTCTAGGACAAACAACTTTAAGCACAATAATTAGAGAAGTGTGTGCCGTGATTTGGGATAAGTTGCAAACATGTGTATCACTTCCAGCCTCTGCAAGTGACTGGATCAAAACAGCAGATGGTTTCGAAAAGCATGCGAACTTTCCACACTGCCTGGGTAGTATCGATGGGAAGCACATTAGACTGATTCAACCTGCTGATTCTGGTTCATTATATTATAACTATAAACACTTTTTTTCAATAGTGCTGCTTGCTGTATGTGACGCTAATTATAATTTTATGTACATAGACGTAGGTGCCTATGGGAAAAGTAGTGATTCAGCAATATTCCAAGAAACTGACTTTTATAAGAAGCTCATGAGCAATACTTTAAATATTCCAGAGCCCCTTCAAATTTCGGAAAATAGCACAACGCTTTTTCCTTACGTATTTGTAGGCGACGAAGCATTCGGGTTGAGCACAAATGTCATGCGCCCATTTGGAGGAAACAACCTCAGCGTCGACAAAAGAATTTTCAACTACAGACTGTCGAGAGCGCGCCGTTACATCGAGTGCACTTTTGGAATTTTAACCAACAAATGGAGAATTTTCCACAGACCATTGAATGTCCACACCGAATTAGCAAAATCAATTGTGAGAACATGTTGTGTCTTGCATAATTTTGTGCGTGCTAGAGATGGGTATTCATATGATGATACTCTGACAGTAACCGGTTTTGAAACTATAACACAGCGAAATTTTACTAGAGGAGGACGTGCTGCTACCACAACTCGAGATAACTTCATGAATTATTTTGTAAATGAAAACCCACTTTCATGGCAAAATAATTGTATTAATTAATAAAAATATAATATTCCTTACTTACCTAAGTCTTTTTTTTGTTCAACTGTTTGCCCCTCTCCTCCATATAAATCTACAATTTCTTCCCAACATTTCTTCTTCAAATCTCTATTAGAGTAATCTGCTGAGGAACTATCCCAAATTGATGGTCTATTTTGAATATCAATAATAAATTTTTCAGTATCGAAATTATCCATCATGCACGTTTGCAAATTAAAAAGCAAATGAGTTGACATATTCAGAATTATCGCGTCGTTAGCAGCGCGACTGGCGGCCGAGTGAGTGAAACACCATAGAGCCCAATACGAAGTAGTGGTGGGGCGACCAGCTTGGCGGAGCTGCCAGTAATCTTTCGAGCACACGTAGTGTTGGTCGCTCCGCCAAACTGGTTGCGCAACCAAGCGGACACCAGGTGAGATACTCTCCATAGAGCTCTATATGTTTTGTTGGTAGCGACGACCGGTTGCGCCGCCATGGTGTCCCGGTGAAATAGGGCCCTAATCCAGTAAGGGTTTTGCGTAGCATAAGGGCCCTATTTCACCGGGACACCATGGCGGCGCAACCGGTCGTCGCTACCAACAAAACATATAGAGCTCTATGGAGAGTATAACACCTGGTGTCCGCTTGGTTGCGCAACCAGTTTGGCGGAGCTACCAACACTACGTGTGCTCGAAAGATTACTGGCGCTCCGCCAAGCTGGTCGCACCACCACTACTTCGTATTGGGCTCTATGGTGTTTCACTCACTCGGCCGCCAGTCGCGCTGCTAACGACGCGATAATTCTGAATATGTCAACTCATTTGCTTTTTAGTTTGCAAACGTGCATGATGGATAACTTCGATACTGAAAAATTTATTATTGATATTCAAAATAGACCATCAATTTGGGATAGTTCCTCAGCAGATTACTCTAATAGAGATTTGAAGAAGATATGTTGGGAAGAAATTGTAGATTTATATGGAGGAGAGGGGCAAACAGTTGAACAAAAAAAAGACTTAGGTAAGTAAGGAATATTATATTTTTATTAATTAATACAATTATTTTGTAGTGGGTTTTCATTTACAAAATAATTCATGAAGTTATCTCGAGTTGTGGTAGCAGCACGTCCTCCTCTAGTAAAATTTCGCTGTGTTATAGTTTCAAAACCGGTTATTGTCAGAGTATCATCATATGAATACCCATCTCTAGCACGCACAAAATTATGCAAGACACAACATGTTCTCACAATTGATTTTGCTAATTCGGTGTGGACATTCAATGGTCTGTGGAAAATTCTCCATTTGTTGGTTAAAATTCCAAAAGTGCACTCGATGATGAAGATGATGATCCCTTTGTACGAGCTCTAAATAATTCTGTTGAGCAGAGACAACGTGAGACATCAGAGCAGATACTACGTGAAACAGCAGAGACCGATGAAGATCGATTATTTCTGCTGTCATTGTTAAGCACACTAAAAAATCTGCCTGTTCAAGTTAAAATGGCTACCAAGATAAAGATGCTAACTTTGTTGAACGATGCGTCAGATTATTCTGGTTACAGGACGTTTGATTATGCTGATCGTTCATTTCAGCATACTTCACAAGCTAATTCAGGTGGTAGACTGGTTAGTCAAGGCAACTATCATCCTGGTTCTTCGACGCAACCGCGCACCACGAATTATCCGACTGAAACTATTACAAATAGTCCTGGATATAATTCTATGAATACAATAATGTATACAAGTTCTCCAAGCGATACACCTGATTCACTGGACTCGGAACCATATATGGAACTGTTTAACACTCAAAATTGTAGTAACTAACTCCAAAAAAATGTTCGTGAATTGTTTGTTCAGTTACATTCTTTAATAAAACTTACCTACTAAAAAAGTTCATTATTTGTTTTAACTTACCTTAATGTTACAAATAAATTTTCTTCGGGACTGACAGACTTTCTTAATATTGTATCTTGTTTCAATAAATCATATCTGCACAGAGTCAATAACTCGTCAAAGGACCTCATGGACATTCTGACATAGTTAAAAAACTTATCTGGATATCTTCTCAGATCTTCGTATATGTTGATAAATTGTCCTTTCTTAGGACGTTTGGCTAAGTAAGGATGAATCCACCACTGTTTTCTTTTTCTTTTTAACTTTCTTTTCCTTCGTATATACAGCAACAGTGCTAACTCGTCGACGTTCATTTTGATACTGTGGCCGTAGTCGGTGTCTCGGGTTTGGTAGCTTCAAGACACCACGGTTGTGCGACTGGTTGCGCCGCCATGGTGTCCCGGTAAAATAGGACCCTAATAGTGCATGTTATGCGACGGAACAACACCTATGCTGGTAAAAGTTGGGGATTTTCCTGCAACTTTGATTGAACCTCCAACTGATTCGACTCTTTGGCGACACTTGGATTAATTATGCATTTTTCACTATATTCTAGTGCTCCACTTGATTCAAAACGTTCTCGTAGTGTGGAAAATGTTTCCGGCCTTGGATGTCGCATATAAGGGTACCGTTGCTGAAAAATACGAGATGCTAGGAAACGATTTCTTTGGGCTCCGCCCAGAACGAACACCAGATTCACCATTTCTTCATTAGAAAAATTTATTTTCAAAATCGTGTTTATTATAATGCTCATAAAGCTAATTTTGACAGTTTGTAACTAATCAACAATTTATTTGTTTCCAAGGATGATGCGATATTTAGGGAATTAAGCCGTTCCTTAAACGACGTGCTAATAACCGAAAAAATAGCCGTAAAAACCCTTATGTTGTGTTCAGTATTAAGAAAAAGCTTATAAAAAATTGAACAAAAACTTGCACAAATATACAGGGTGATGCATTTTAAATGTTTGAGAAAAACTACAGTTTGCGTTTTTGACCACCCTGTATGAGCAAAAATTAAAATTCGAAAAAGTAACAAATAAAATAAAAGCTGTGGTGTGTAAGTTTTTTTTTATACAAAATTCAGCACCCCCGATTCCAAAATGGCGGACTGAGGGGTTGCCGAAGTGGGGGGTTCTTCTAGACAAAACACCTTAAATCTCAGTAGCTAATTCACAAAACCCCATAGTATGTTATATCAATTTTCTTCTTTTGAATTGGTTTATCCAAATATGCAATAAAATTTGATGCATTCCATTTGAAAAATCACAACTTTGATATGTAGGTCGAAATTGGGACACCCTGTATAATGACCAATATTTTAGAAATGTGTCCTCAAATGTCGTGTCCCATAAATAGATTTTCCCAAAATGTATTTGTTTTTGAGTAATATTCCGTCCACGCAAGGATGGGCTACCCTGTATAGCGTGGCCCTCGTAAAACCAATTAAGTCATAATTTACAAAAGCATCGTAGGAAGCTAAAGTGGTACGAAATCTTAATACCCAAATACTCCTAAAATATGTAAATATTCCCCTGTAGCGGTCTGTGATACCGCGTCAGAGTATTGAGAGTTACTTCAAATTATGATTGTATATATCATACATATATATCATACATCAGACATTTTTCATTCAATTTTCCCGTTGTTACCAGGATCAGAAAATCCTTAATGATAGAACGGCTTTGACTGATACCACAACATTTAGAACTAACTAACCCCTAGAATCCCCAATCCCCAATTTTCACACTTTAGCAATTTTTTCCCAAAATGATCAGGAGCCTCTGAATCCAAAGTTTGAGCAATATTTTTTTTTCGTTTATGGCCTTTTTCTCCAGCGCCATTGGTTCGATTTTCAAAAACTGCAGAGCTTTCGCGTCCTTGGCATAGTAGTAACATTTTGTAAAAATTTCAGCGTTACTTCTTGAGTTCTAGGCGGCAATGCGATTAGCAGACAGACCGACAGACTGTCGGATAGACAGACTGAGGGCAATGAGTGACATGGTTATTCGTCATGTTCATGTCATATAACTTCAAAAAACCATATCTCATTTTAAAAATTTTCCACGCAAGACTGTTTCATTTTTGCAATTTTTCGCGAATACTGAATGAATACTCAAGACTGGAAAATACAAATCCTACAAGCATCTTACCAATTTCCTCAAGGTGGCTCTTTGGACCAACACCAGACAGCATTAGTATCTTAGGAGAATTCAAGCCTCCAGCAGAGAGAATTACTTCTTTTTTGGCTACTACCGTGTACATTTTACCACTTTTCTTGTACTCCACTCCATATGCTTCTTTCGTGTCAGGTCTTATCAGTATTTTTGTTACATAAGCACCTGTTCGTATCTTCAAATTCGTTCTCTGTCGAATTGGACGAAGGTAAGAGTTTTCTGCATTCGATCTCATTCCGTTTCGTAGGGTTGTTTGCATATGTGATACCTGTAATAGAATATAATCAATAGGAATACCTTTGGATGGTTTTTCTAAAAAATGGATCGTGATGTCGATACCAAAGAGCCGTTCATTTCGGCTGGTCGGAGTCCGGACCACCAAGGACTTGATCTGGTACAATAGCGGCAGCTGCTGGGAAAAAGCTAGGCTACTTCTTTTGGTCTAAGAAGTACCTTTCTCCACATAAACTCCTCACTCTGTACAAGTCCCAGATTATTGCTAACGTATTTGGGGTGCTGCCGCCTCGACTACGCCAGTGAGCTTTGCTACTCAAAGCTTTGCTCCATATGGCGCCGCGCCATGAGCCCGCCAGACAGACCCGCTTGACTTCGAGCTCCTATCCTAACCGTACCGAGCTTCGTACGGCCAGGACTGGCCGATATGCCCACTCCAATGTCACTAGGTAACAATCTTCATGAGAAGACTTTTTCCACTCTACTAGGCAGTTCAAAAATCTCATCATTTAGGTTTCTGCCTGCGCGGCTACTTCGGTGTAAAGAAAACACACATTTTTATTTGACTAGGGCGTGCTAGAAGTCATAAATAATCGGTACCCCCATTGCACAAAACAGAAGGTACCGCCAACGAGGTGAGTTGTGAAACAGAATGAGCCAAACTGTTTTTATGAGCAGTGTCATGTGACACCGTATGAACAGTAATCGCGTCGTTAAAGAATTTTGCAGTTCTGTATGATTTGAATCCACGGGAAAAATAAGTAGCACCGACTCCTCCTTCGCATATTCATTCATATCATTGTTAGCTGCACGTATAAAAAGTTCTACATAGTGACTTACCCCCAAACCATTCATGATGGTTGCGCAACTATATATGACATTTTCGTTTTACTCAGTACTTGTACATATGTTACACAATCCATTTCGGATATTTCCATAACGCGTTTGTAGCACCGCATCTCAAATGCTTGGATATTTTCTTTGACTGTTAAATTTTATACTCATCAACTCCATGAAGCAAGTTGGAGAAGACATTTTAGATTTTTTCTGTAATACTTTCAACTGCTCCTCTATTGTTTAACGTAGAGTAGCATAACATTTTCTTAGGCTTCAACTCAGGCGCGGATTCAGGGGGGAAGGCAACGGTGCCATTCCCTCCCTCCTGGCTCCGCTTTGGTGCATTCTGTTCTTACACTGCTGTTTACTATTTCTTTTGTTAAGTATTTTACAATAAATGCAACAATACCAGAAAGTAGAAACCCCCCCAAGATGTAATCTTGGATCCGCGCCTGCCTCAATTTCTATATAAACTCAAAGTAAAGTTCTTACCCCTATTTGCTGTTTGCCATTGTAGTCTACGTATGAGAACCCAGCTTGTTGTGCAGCATTTATGTAAACATCTGTCAGTTTGGTTCTAAATGGAACATCGCTAACACCAAGCGGTCCTCCTCTTCCGCGATATTCAGAATCTTTCAATGTCACGTTGGATGCGTCTTCTAGTTTTCGAAAGTAAGGCAGCAGATCTCTGTAACCCCAACCAGGATTACCCATTTCTTCCCATTTATTATAATCCCCCTCATTGCCTCTGACAAATATCATAAAATTGATGATAGAGCCTCCTCCTAAGCCTTTTCCGTGGCCATATCTCGCGCCTTTGTCCAGACAGCCTAAAAACCAATATACACCTCAGTGGACTGGAGATCAGCTGGAAAGATAGTCAAGCCTGACACACCTTGTCGGCTTTGACGGCTGGCGCAGCAGAATTGCCAGATTTGTACTTCGGTTATCAAAAGGAACCCCACGAGACTTGTATTTTGGTTTAATAAAGAAGAAAGATAGATTGAGTGTTTTTCAAGAGAGAGAGAGAAAAAGTTGTCATTGAACAATTCATTAATGTCAAGAAGTTTTCGTCGTAATTTTAGCCTTCGAATTGCGAAGAAACTCATCGTTGCTTGTACAACAGTGGCGCAACTAGCTTGCTGATTTTGGGGGGGACTTGAGCCCCGGGTCTCTATAACTCGATTTGGTGACAGTATATGATGTTCTTCAAACCTTACTACAGCACGTATCTACGTTCTTAGTCGGAAAAGACAAAGTTATAAAATACATTTTAATATACATACATACATACATAATATCTAAGCAAAAAATATATCGAGTTTAAAACTTAAATACTTACTAAATACAACTTAAAAACTGGAACAAGTTCTTTTAAATTAAACTCCTAAGTGCATAGACAGGCGGACGGACCAGCAGACGAAAGGGTCAAAAACATAAAATTATTTTTCTGTTTTTAGATGCATACTTATCAATCACGTCTTCCAAATTTATTTCTACAGGTATATCCTTTTGGATAACTAACAATCGATGTGCAGAAAATCTTTCTTCCCATACACAGTCGTCGCCAATTCAAAATGATCCGCATAAGGCAAGGCGCGCACTGAGGTAGTGTGGTAGTGGTGAGGTATTGGAGTGGTGAGAGGCATAGGGATGGTAAAATTTGGCGTGGCGATCGGAATAGCGGCGAAGTGGTATGAAAGTGATATAAAGCGCACTGAAGTGGCAAACAAGTCAGTTGACGTCACCGGTTTACCATGTCGTCCTCAGAAGATGAAGATGCCCTTTTATTTATGCAACTTGTTAATCTAAATGCTATAAGTCAGGAGACGAAGAAAAAACGGCATTGGGTTCATCCGCTGTGGCAAAAAAAGCCCGTTCTTGCACATGGATCATATGATAATCCTCCCGTGTATTGTCATACAGACAGAGATATGCCTCTACAAGGGCTACAAAATTAATGTTCAATTCGTGGTCGTCTCGCATGATTCACTCCAGGAAAAAGTAAACAAAAACCCACGTCGCGTCGTCGTCACCAACCGCTTGCCAGTCGAAAATTAAACTTGCTCGAGATTAGTGGCACCAGACTGACATCACGCCACCTACAAAATGCCACGCCACCGGTACTCCATTTTGATACGCGCGTCTTCATTTGTTTATATAGGCTTTAGCGATTCCACCTGCCACTTGATCACCGCGCCACTACCACGTCACTTGCTTACCATCTCAGTGCGCGCCTTGCCTAATAGAGAATGACATCTCGCACGTGGCAGACGTCACTGGTAACGCTATTGCCACTTGAAACAAAGTATATATTGATATGGTAATGACATGGCACTAATACCAGGTACTATTTTGTGACTATCGGGCTTGGGATAGCTAAGTTGTGGCATTAATATCATGTGTGTGACCATCGGGTTTGGGGGGCTAATCTTGAGCTTGGAGTGGCTAAGCCCACCCCCCAGCCCCTCTAATTGCGCCACTGGTGTTTATCACATACTTGATGTTAAAGTTGAAGTATAATTTTCGAAAATTGCTGATATTAGAAAAAAAATAAGTACAAAAATAAAAAACCATTGAAGAACGCTTATGACATATGATTTCGAATATTTAAATGCAAAGATTTATAGATGCGATCTACTTAAGTTTTGAGCGATTTTCATGGCCAAAAACCCCATTGTGGATCCTTATCCTTTGGTGTAGCTTTGAGCGCAAAACAAATCCATGACCTGAGTTTGAGTGCTTGGACCTCTTAGTCCACAAATGATAGTTCATTTTGAATATTTTTTTGGTGAAACTAGTCAAACTACCAAGAAGCAGTCTCACCCGAGCAAAAACCTGGTTGCGGTTCAGCATGAGTTCCCCAATTATAAGTTGTCGGATAAAGTGTGGCAACAACAAGTGGAACTTCTGCCAAGCCAGTAGGGTCACCTCCAGCTTCGAGAAGAAGTATTTTCCATCCATTTATCTCTGATAGGCGATTGGCTAACACGGAACCGCTGGGGCTGGCACCGACTATCACGAAATCGAAGTGTTCAGGTGTCTTTTTAGGTGGAAATTCTGAAAAATATAAAAATGGAGTACTACGCGATAGTTTCGTACAAATAATCAGGCATCTATAGTAGCATATAGTAAAAGTCTTGCCGGTTGCCTAAACACATTAGAATTTGCTATTTTTTAACTTTCAATTTTCTAGATTTTCAAGTATTAACTTATTCTTCATTATGTGCTTTTCATAAGGTCTCACTCCAAATATCTTTTAAATGTGGCAGGCTTGCAAGCTGAAATCCGATATGATGAAATTGATTCATAGAAACTTAATTTTACCCTAAAAATGGACACTTCCGAAAGAGATTGATATAATATACCGTTTTTATGATTTGTTGTATTTAATGTACTAAAATTTTGTGAATGCCCCGAGATTATTCATGGCACTTTCGACTTACTGTCATGGCTTTCGTAAGTAGAATCCAAGTTTGAAATCACTGCAGCTCCATCTATAATTCCAGTAGTAAATTTAAGCAGTTGCCTCAAATCCCTTACTGGGATATGATACAAAATTGTAGTAATTGCTGCTGCTATCAAGGCACGTAGCAGAAACATCTAAAAAGAAAAAAAATACTAGTAATACTACCGAATCTACAACTCAAATTCAAGCTCAGCGCGACTGAAAACAATGATTTTCATTTGGCCAGAATGACCGGAAACAAATAATCACTGAATAAATATGTCCATGTACAACTTCGTTTTCTAAAAAACGTTCTTCGGAACCAGTTTTTTAAGTAAACGATTTTTTAAAAACCTTCAACTTATTTGTCCGATTAAACGTTCAAGATAATCGTTAAGCCCTTTTTCTATTAGAAAGCGTTTATATGTTCTTGAGCTCTTTCAAAAATCAGTTCTTTAGCAAAAATTTGGCGTCAAGTAGGTTAACTCAGCTCTTCCTATGGAATGCTGTCATCATGAAGGATTAGAATAGAATAGATTTTTATCGGCTACAAACTGTAAATTACAATGTAGCAAATCAAGCTAAACATGTACACCTATATATGAAAAATAATCAAAAAAACATAGAAATACTTACATAGACATAAAAGTAGAAATCATTTACAGGCACTTAACAAAAAAGAAAGAAATATCTAAAACAAATTTACAAATGTTCTTTCATGAACTGTAACGACATTAAAAGACAAGGTGTTTATCAGAGACTTGTTGAATTTGTACACTAAAAATTCGTCAACAGAATAAAGACAAATATTTTCTCAATGAATTAGATTCCTTGAGCTCATACAGTAGAGTATTGTACAAGTTTATATCAAGGGTTTTCAGCAGTCCTTGCCAGCCTGAATCTGCGGTCTCTTAATAATGATCGTATTCTAGTTGGATAAATATGATGTGATGTCGCCATTTAAATCATCTGAGAAAAAAATCAGTTACGAACATGTACAACGGAAAAATTCAATGGAATGAGTCACTCAGACAGCTGGTTCATAGACATTATTTCCCAGCCCTACCGGTAGTTGCAGTCATCTGGCAACGTTGTCACTTTCCACATCTGCGGGGCATTGCTGCAACAAGTTATCGTTCACTTCGTGCGTGGTCCCTGTATATGTATATGTTTTTTGCGCTACAGTACGTATAGATTAGTCTCTGTAAAAACTCTGAGAAAACCTTAAAGTGAGTTTAAATGAGTGGCGATTAAAATGGTTTCACACGAAACAGAACACTTTTCTGATGCCAAAACTTACGTTGCTGCTGATAGATACGGTAGAAAATTCTGAGCCCTTCACTTTACCACTTATACTTAAATTTGTTATGCATGGTTCTATTTTATATGTGACGATTCTTATACCAACACCTTTATGTAATAATCCTTGGTATTTATTGTACTGATTATATAAAATAATCATACATGGTGTCCCACGATGTCTACCGATTTTTCTAAAATTCAAGTTAGAATATCATGAAAAGGATCAGGGTCCACCACAGAGACGTATGAGACTTATAGAGACGAGAAAGATAAATTGAAAGAGTCTATACTGGAAGCAAAACGACAGTCTTGGGAAAAATTCGGAAACCGGTTAAATAAATAAAGATGCATGAGGAATGAGGATGCAGAACTGCTGTCAACACGTTGGAGTGTGTACTTTCATAAACTCCTATAACCACATTATGGAAAGAAAGGGAGTTAGCTGGTATGGAGTTGGAAGTACACAATCTGAAGATATAATAACGATGGAACTGGTCGAAGTATCCATTGAAAGATATGTCACTGAGAATAGTTTATTGTTAATTGGTAAGAACAGCATGGAAATATTAACTGCCAAGCAATATGGGAGTCAAGTATGCGCAAAGAATGCAATAAAGATTCTAAAAAATATTGGGGTGTAACACTGTTAGGTGAGGTAGCTAAGGTCTGATCAATGACTCTTTCCTAACGGGCAGTCTCGGGACCCTTTCACACCGGCGGGTATCGACGAACTAGTTCTCTTCTACCGCTACGCCAAAGGGCTTTGCTCCTCAAAGCTCTCCTCCATCATGCTACCGAATGATGTGCCTGCCAAACAGACTCGATTGACTTCGGCCTCCCATACTGACCGTGTCGAACTTCGTACATCCAGAGCTGGCCGATCGACCTCTCCTTTGTCACTAGGGAATCCAGATTGTCTAACAATCTACATGAGGAGGCTTTTCCCAGTTCTCTTAACCTTAGGCAGTTCAAAAATCGAATTAACAAAATTTCTTTAAATGCCCTGAGATTTAGGCTTCTGCCTACGCGGCAGCTTCGGTGTAAAAAAGATCACTGTAGAGTAAATTAATCAAGAAGCTGAAACATCAGTTACCCGATTAATAGAATTACTACAGAAAAGGGTATACATCACTCAGGAGCATGTTGCTACCATAAAACAGGTGATCGATAAGAGCAAAATTTCTAAGCTTCGATAGCTCCATTGACTTGGAATAGGTGTCTGACAGTATTCCGAGGACAATGTTTTTGGAGGTTTTGGAAAATTGGCATATAGGGGAAAACCTTTAATAGCAACAAAACGATTGTACCAAACATTCATAAATGTGTAACTATTAGATTCATCTTTTATTTTTATTGTAACTACAATGACGTAACACTTTCATGTCTTGTACCTTGTTTGGATTTAAAATAGACCTAAAGTATGCCATATAAATAAAGTAAGTTGGATATTGGAAAATGGGAGTTATTCTAGAATATTTTAGTGAAAAAGTTTAACTCAACAACATCTTAAAGTTTGGGTTATTTTCGGGGCCAGAAGACGACACTGTTATGACACTCTTATGGACCCTTACTCTTCGGCATTGCTACCGTTAATAGAAAAAAAGCTCCTCACACTGAATTTATCAAAATATATGGCAGTAACATATTGTAGGAAACAAAAAGCTATGATTCAGGATGACTAGAGTATTTATCAGGTAAGGTTAGAAAGGAGTTACAGGCATAAAGATCTAGGTGTTACATTTTATACAAAGTTCACTTTCAATAATCACATAAGTAACATTACACCGTTTGCTTCCTGTCAGGTTTCTTGGATGTTGAATCAATCAAGCTTCTATATAACATTCGTCAGAAGCAAACTTGAATATGCATCGATTATCTGGGCACCTATTTATCAAAACTCTATTAGCAGATTGGAATCTATTCAACGAAGAGTTGTAAAATAAATTTTTTCCAAATGCAATGGTTTCTATCCACAAAGAGGCTTCGACCATAATGTGTTGCTTAAATCATTTGATAAAAAACCTCTTGAAGTACGCCGAAATATTTCGTTTTTGTTCGGTTTACTCCGCAATAAGATTTATTTTAAGTAACATAGGTTTTAATGTTCCCCGCTTATGTACCGTTATTGTGATACATTTTACTGTGATTTCTGCGACACCAATGTTTTGTCCAAGTCTCCCGTTCATAGGACGTCACTGTTCAGTGCGACATATTTGATGACACTGAATTGCGCGTCATCGAACTTTACCTTGATGAAGTTGAAAGTTAGTATATTGTTGTTAATTATTTACTTATATATTGCTATTCTTATCTATGTACCAGTATTTCCTTACTGTGCTTTATTGATATTCCCTGCAATTAAGTGTAACTACCAGTTGGAAATAAACTCATTATTATTAAAAAATGAAAGCAATTAGACTAAACTGTTTTAGAAATGATAGCATCTGTGATTATACCTGATATCAACCTGTGATAGTGGTCGATTCTGGTAATAGATGGCTCTGTATGCTGATAGACCATATATCCTGGATAGAGGATAATTACCCAGCTTTCGTTCATTTTCCTACCTGAAACCAGGCCTAGACCATGCTGATGAATTGCCAAATAGCACGAAACACCTATCCATGGTATATCGCTAATATCGCTTTATTATTGAACGTTACATATTTTATGTTCACAATCACATATTTGTATCAGTAACTTTTTCCCAGTCTTACTCATGAGAACTCTTTGTGAAATCGATCTTAGGACGCCATGTAAAAACTTGTTGAGCCTACATGCATTTCGAAAACATTTGCTTTAATATACGCAACACAACAATTCACGCAACTAGACAAATAACTATCAATTAAGTTGGTAAACTAACTACTTAAAATGATCTTTTATTGTACTTTTTATCTATTACATTTGGAAATGGTATTAGCAGCAGACAATAGTGGTGTAACATAGCAAAGGGATATGCTTGATAAACGGATAAAGCATATGATCAATAGCACGCAAAATGGTTTGAGAATTTGAGTGCTGTCACAACATTCGCTAGTGGCATACTTGGATAATAATCTACATCTACATTATTAAAAAGTTTAATCAAAACAACCTGAACCTGCCGAACAAACTTTCATTGATTTCGGTCGAGTAGACTTTAGATATTCTTCGACATACAGTGCAACCCGCTTATAACCTCTTCAGTCTACACGTCCAGCCCACTGGACATTTTTCGTAATATTTCTGTAGAGGTTCACGATGAACTAGTAGGACTTCCGGCCCGCTGTGCAGCGGACTGGACGTTCTAATATACGCCGTAAAATTTTCGGTAAAAAATATTTGGCAACGTTGATGCTGTTTCACTTTTAATTTGCCGGTGCACGTGCTTTGAGGTTAGGGATGGCGTGGTATCAGAAACTAGGTTATATTTGCATTTTAATCTAATGTTTTGATAAAATATTACTTAGAAATAAATAAAATAACTATAATTTAGTGTTTCAAGTAATATACCTACAGAAATTGCGTGATATCTCTGCATAGCAACCGGTTTTTGATTATGTGCAGTATTTTGGACATGGGGATTCTATTTGGTTCAAGTTTATAAGCAGTTTTTTGATTTTTGACGTAAGCTTCCCTATTTGATTGTTATCATTTTGTTTCTTTTTCCGCAAGCTGGCAAGTCGATACTGACGGATAAAGATCTTGAGGCAATTCTAAATGATAGTGACTTCTACTGGAGCGATGATGAGGAAGAAGCCGTCCCTGAAGTCAATGACACAATTGAGGCAAGTGATGTCGAGGAGGCTGTTCTTGAGCCGCCAGACGCAGATCAAGTTCCTGATACCGTTGAAGAGGAATCTGACGATGATGTACCTTTGTCCAAAATAAGAGACCAGCTACTTCAGAAGCACAACAAAAACAAAAAAAAACGGAAGAAAAATGGAAAAGAGGAGTTTTTGAAAATCGAGAAGAAGTCTACCTTGATCCGGAATGGCAGGTACAAGATGATCATGAGTATTGGTCACCGCTGAACTATTTTTTGAAATATTTCCCAGATGAGTTTTGGGAAAATTTGGCAGAACAAAGTAATATTCGTGCCATGCAGGGAAACGAAAAGAAACCTCTAAAGTCAACTGACAAAGAATATCGCACATTGGTTGGAATACATATTTTAATGGGCATTTTTGGACTCCCACGATTGCGGCTATATTTCATGAAGGGAACTGAAATATCCAGCATCACTCATTACCAAGAGACCGTATTTTCAAATTAAGAAATTTTCTACGCGTTGTTAATAACCTTAGTGTTCCAAATGAGGCAAAGAAGTCAAATCGGCTGTGGAAAGTTCAACCTATCATCGATGCGGTTCGTAGAAAATGTGTCACTTTACCAAAAAGTAAAGAATTGTGCATCGACGAACAAATGATCCCATTCACTGGTACCACATCTCTACGACAGTATGTTAAAAATAAGCCAAATCCTGTGGGATTAAAAAATTTTGTTTTGGCTACACCTTCTGGACTCGTACTAGATTTTTTTATTTACCAAGGTGCAAAAACTTGGCCGGATGGTTCTCCCGATCAAAATTTAGGAATAGGTGGTTCGGTTGGTAAGAAGCTTGCAGCAGATTTGTCACCAGGGCACAAAATTTATTTTGATCGTTATTTTACTTCAGTCAGTCTACTGGATCATTTACTGACACAAGGAATATTGGGAACGGGAACAATTATGAACAACCGGATTCCACGAGAATTTAGAAACAAAATGAAAAATGATAAAGAGCTGCTCTCAGAAGGTCGCGGTTCCTTCGACGAATTCATAAGAGAAGACAAAAAATGTACCATTCTCAAATGGATGGACAACAGATCAGTTACAATGGCATCATCATCAACAGGTTCTGCACCGCAAACAGACGTACGTCGACGGGATAAAAAGAATTCAAAACATATTCTTGTCCCATGTCCAAATTCTGTAACTAGTTACAACGGTTCTATGGGAGGAGTAGACTTGTGTGATCTTATTATCGAATCTGTATGCGAACAAAAAAATGGCCAGTGAGAGTTTTCTGGCATTTTATCGATCTAGCAATCACAAATTCATGGATCGAATACCGACAA